CCTATATCTTGGAGGATACTGCCTATGTTTTCTTCTAGCAGTTTCAGAGTTCCAAGTTTTATATTGAGGTCTCTGATACATTTGGAGTTGACTTTTATGCAGGGTGAAAGATAAGGGTCCAATTTCATTCTTCTACAGGTATAGATCCAATTTTGCCAGCACCATTTGAAGATACTCTTTCTTTGGGTGTTCTTGGCACCTTTGTCAAATATAAGGTGGCTGAAATTGCGTGTACTAATGTTTGAGTCTTCTATTGTGTTGCCTTGATCTATGTGTCTATTTTGTGTCAGTATCATGCTGTTTTTATGATTATGTCTCTGTAATATAATCTGAGATCTAGTATGGTTATCTCCCCAGCAGTGTTCTTTTTGCCCAAGATTGTTTTGGCTATCCAGGGTCTATTGTGATTCAAATGAATTTTAGGATGTTTTTTTTTTTCTAGCTCTGTGAAGAATGTCATAGGTATTTTGATTGTTATTACACTAAATCTATTGACTGCTTTTGGTAAGATGGTCATTTTCACAATATTAATATTACTAATCCATTAGCATGGTAGGTCTTTCCATCTCCTAGTGTCTTTCTCTGTCTCTTTCTTTAAAGACTTAAAATTTTCACTGTAGAGATCTTTAATGTCTTTGGTTAGGTTTAGTCCTAAATATTTTTTGAGGTTATTGTGAATTGGAGGGTTTCCTTGAATGCTTTTTCTAATTGCTTGTTATTAATATATAGAAAAACTGCTTAGTTTTGTAAGTTGATTTTGAAACCTGCCACTTTACTAAAAGTATTAATCATTTCTAACAGTTTTCTGGTGGGATTTTTGGGCTCTCTTATATATAACATATCATCTGCAAATAGTGATAATTTGACTTCTTTTCCAATTAGTACTCCTTTAATTTCCTTCTCTTCTCTTACTGCTCTTGCAAGAGTTTCAAGCACTATATTGAAAAGGAGTGGAGATGGTGGACAGCCCAGTCTGGTTCCTGATTTTAATGGAAATGCTTCCAGTTTTTTTTCCATTTAGAATGATGTTGGCTATGGGTTTGTTGTATTAGCTTTAATTATGTTGAGGTATGTTCCCTCTAGACCAATTCCTTCTAGGACTTTTAACATGAATATATGTTGGATTTTGTCAAAAGCCTTTTCTGCATCTATTGAGATGACCATGTGAGTTTGGCTTTAAGTACATTTACATATTTTATTACATTTATTGACTTACATATATTGAACCGTCCCTGCATTGCTGGAATAAAGCCAACTTGATCATGATGGATGATTTTTTTGATGTTCATCAAAGTTGAAAGGGAAGATGATTTGGAAGAATCCATAGGAACCAAAAATATGTCTATTTTACCTATGGTTTCTGAGGCAACTGAGAGGTTGAAGGAAAAGACATCTTTCATTTGAGAGGAGCCTGTTCTAGGAAAGGAATTTCTTCATGGAACAGACACTGTCAATCAGAGGAAGAAGAGAGTGAGGTGTTTAGGGATGAGAGAGGGGAGTCTGGCAGCACTGGCAAGCCAGGAATTCCCACATGCACTGGAGGAGTTTGAGGTCACAGAACTTAGGAGGTGTGGGTCAGGTGAAGGGAAGAAGAAAGCAGGTGTTGACACAAGCAACATATGACAATGATCTGGGAAGTTTGAACTTCAAGTAGTGACTGAAGTTACTAGGATAAGTACTAGAAGACTAGAGAAAATGAGCAGCCAGTGTCACCCAGAATGTTCAGTCAGAAGGTGTGGGTCACTATTTAGTCCTAGATCTCACCAGGAGTTTCAGAGCCTACAGAATGCAGGAAGTCCTCTTAGAGGAATAACTCATTCTGGGCTATAGGCTGAGCTTAACAGTGCTGGCAGAGCTCTCCTTACCAGGAGTTCAAGTTACCTCTGAGACCTCCAGACCCTGATCTCTCCTTCACTGTGGTAGTGTCACTGCCTAAGTAGGTTTGGGACACTGGTGAATCCCCTAGATAGGAGGTAGGGACAGGGGGGCCATAGCCTGTCTCAGGGCAGAAAGTCTTATAATAGTTGAAAAATGAGTGGTAGTGTGTTGGTGCATATGTAACCTCAGCACTCAGGAGACTGAGGCAGGAGGAGCACAAGTTTAAAGTCAGCTTCGGGCTGCATAATGAAAACATGTTTCAAAAAAACAACTAGAAAATGAGACTATATAAGGAACTGGCACCATTAACCTCTCTTTCTGTAGAGGAAATAAGGGTTATAATTGTTTTCTTCTTATCTAGAATTCTAGCCTCATCTTTCAGCAACAAATTTCCTTTGCTTCACTTGTCCCTGTATGCTGAACTGGGTCTTTCTGAACCTTAGAAGTCTTCTTCCTTCACCATTATTCCAACAAACAGTTCAAACTAAGTATGATTGAAAATTTCAAATGAAGTCAACAATATCTGAGACTTCAGACAACTTTGACTTCCTTATCACTCATCAAAAGAAAGAGACAAAAATCAGGTAGACAAAGACATAGGGCATGTAGCCAAGAGACGATAAATATATAAAGAGTTATCATGGATAGATAATAGAAGATAAACAAGGAGACAGCTAGATGATAGGTATACAGATAGATGATAGAACATTAAGATTGATAAATTAATAGATAATAAGTGAGAGAAGGGGAAGAAAAGGAAGGGATAAAAAAGAAGACAGGTAGAAAGTTGGATAGCCCTTTGATGCTCATAAAAATATATTTTGAAGAATACTTCATTTCTGTAATCTTATGAGAAGGATAATCATATTTTAAAACTTAATCAGCAAGATTTAAGCTAAATGTCTAATTCTTCAACTTCTACATCCTGGAGATTAATGCAGTTCCCAGATATACATGGATCTGAGTAGAAAAGGCCTAAGAGTTAGAAGTCCACTTTAGAGTGGTCTTAGCCGCTGAGTCCTTTTGAAGGCAAAACCAGAGCTCTTGTCCAAAGATCTGCTTTATAGAAGCTGAAGCCTGACCTCACAGAACAATGAGGTCCTTCAATCAGGGTTCACGTTGTTATGATGAGGAGGAACAGTCATTGTCTCTAAGAAAAACAGGTCTGCCCTTGAATCATGGCAGCTCAAAGAGTTGTTGGCAGCAGAGTGTTAAGGACCTTTAATGGAGCGCTCTCTAAATTCTCCTTATGAATTTACCTCTCTGTGACCTGTAAGACTTCCCCTACTTTCTCTGTTTTGTAAGCACTGTGGTTTTGTTCTTTGTTCATACCAGAGAGTCAGCTGAGAAAGTAAACACTGCCTAGACTGCACGTTCTCAAACTGATGTACTATCAGTTCCATACAGGGAGAATTATGGATGGTCACAGCAAGCTCACGGGACCCTATCCCCTGAAGCCATGATTGAGATGCCTTCACTGCATCCTCATATGAAATCTCTGGGGTGATGCTGCTTTTGTCTTCATTTCACAGTGAAGGAACTGATGCTAAAGAAAGCTCACAGTAAGGCTAGTCTTTTGTCCAATGCCAGATCTTGTGTAGTGTCTACTCCATGAATACCAACCTGCTCATTTACAACCATAAAAGAATTCTTCAATTCAAAATGAAAGCAGTCATATTAAAAGTTGGTTTGCTGTTGGCAACTTCTTCCAAATCTACATGATTTTCTTATTAAACAAAAGCATGCACCAGCTGTTCTATTCACAATAATCAGGAAATGGAATCAGCATGGGTGCCCATCGACAGATAAACAGTTTAAAAAAAAAAAAGGTAGTACATATACACAATGGAATTTTATACAGCTGTAAAGAAAAATCATGGCATTTGCAGCAAAATGGATGCAAACAGAAAATGTCATCATGTTAAGGAAAATTAACCAGACTCAGAAAGACAAATACCATTTTTTCTCTCATGTACAGAACCTAGATATAAAATTATATGTGTGTTTGTAGGTCCTAAAAAAGGATCATGAGAGAGGAGGAAGAAATGTTAAAGGAAGTGGAGAGTTAATGGACTACACATAAAAGGAAAGTAGAAAGGGAGAATAGCTGGAGGGGCTGCATAGAGAAGGAGAGCAGGAGAAGGGAATGAAGAAGAATCTAGTACAATGACACACACAAAGGTGTCATGATGGAACCCACTGTTCTGTATACTAACCTTAAAAAGTTAAAATAGTACACACACAAGTCCATTCTGCACTTTTTAATGCACAGCAGGTATCCAAGGGAAATGGGAAATGTTTTTCAATTTAACAGCATTTCAAAAATTGTTAAATTACAAAAAAAAAAAAAAGTGAGAATTATTCATCCAGAGCACAGAACTGTTTATATAGCCACCACAACTTTTTTTTTTTTTTGGTTTTTTTGAAACAGGGTCTCCCTGTAGCCCCAGCTGGCCTGGAACTCACTGTGTAGACCAGGCTGGCCTTGAACTCACAGAGATCTGCCTGCCTCTGCCTCCCAAGTGCTGGGACCACAGGCATGCGCCACCACGCCTGGCCACCATGACTTTTAAAGCAATATTCATGTATGATGAAATTTGTTCCACTTAAATCCGAAGCCCTCTTCTGACCTCTGAAGCACTGCATGACATGGATGCACTCACATACATGCAGGCAATTCATTCATACACATAAAATAAAAATAATAAATAAAATATTTTTAAAAAATTAAAAGAAAAACAAAACACCACCTCTCCTGACTGTTTCAGACTCATTTTTTTTTTTTTTATTTTTCCATCCAAAGTAAGCATCTTAGACCGTGTTATAAAATCGCACCATTCTCATTCCAAAATATTTCTCTGGTAACGCACACAAGCTGTATTTACTTGTGGAATTGGGTTTTAGGGGCATTTTACAGCTCACAGAGACCTGAAATCCTGCTAATATTCCTGTGAACTCCCAAGTCCTCCACTGTCCTCCCAAATGTTTCTGTCCTTCTTCCTCTCCTCTCCACTTGCACCAGCATGCCCGTCCAAACATACTCTAGCTATTGCTCCTCTCATTTGATGGAATCTACTTCTTTAATGTGTCACAAAGATCTCCCTTCTAAAGTAATTACTCACTCATTATGCTTTTTTTCCATGTCAGACTGATTGCACTGTATCCTAAAAGCTTTATTTAATAACCTCTCTTCAGGGTTGGAGAGATGGCTCAGCAGTTGAGCGCTTACTGCTTGCTATTGCGGAGGACCTGAGTTTGATTCTCAGCATCCACATCAGGTGTCTCATAACTGCTTATTCTGTTCCAGGAGATCCAGGACCTTCTCTGGTATCTGTGGATAGTTTGTTAAGGAGGCAGAAAGAAAGATAGCAATTAATGAAATGGGAATAGTGTCAATGTCTTAATAGCTTCACCTGTGAATGCCTAACTTCATGACTTCTGGACTCTATGACACTGCCATGTTGATGCTACAGCCTCTCTATTTCACTGGAACCTACTTAATTAACTTAGTACCAAATTGAGATGCTTCTCTTTTCATGTGTCCTTGGTATTTCTGAAATATGTGAAGCTATTAGCTACAAAGAAGTTTCTTTCTTCCCACTCTAGCTGCCTCTCCTTTTGTTAGTCAGCTTTCAGTTGCTGACTGAAAATACCTGAGGCAGTTAACTTAAAATCAGGAAAAGGTTTTATTTTGGCTCAGTTTTGTAGGCTAAAATACATAGTTGTTGGCCCAGTTGCTTTGAACCTTTGATGGTGAGGCAGTACATCATAGCAGGAGCATGTGACAGAGGACGAGCATTCACTAAGAAGCAACCAATGAGCTCTTCAAGGACAATCTCAATGACTCAAAATCTCTCACTAGGCCCCACCTCTTAAAGCTTCCACAACATTCCACAGTATCATGTGGAGATTAAGCCTTTAATACACAAGAGCTTGGGAGACAATTTAGGTCAAAACTATAGCACTCTTCTTTTTGAAACTCCCTGACACTCTCCATCTCTCTTATCTATACTTTGCAGACATTCATCTAGGTCTTGTTCCTCTCTCCCCAACTCTTCATTGCTTAATGTTTTCCAATGTTATAGTCTCCTTTTCAGACTGTTTTCTTCTTTCTAGATCTAATCTATCCCTTATTTACTCATGAAGAGTTTAGACTTGAAGACAGAATCAATATAACTTTTGCCAACTTTTACATCAGGATCTCACACAGTAGGTCCTCAATAGGTGATGGGATAAATGGAACTGTGGGAACATCTGCAAACAATCAACCCCTCTGGGTCTCAATTTTATGGTGATATTATGTGGTTTGATGTCATAGTATATAAAGAAATTCACCTATGTATTAGAAAATAACTGCATATAGTAAATATTGATCTTAGTTCCCATGTAAATATTTCCCAAACTTAAATCTGTAAGGTATGCTTACATGGGAAACCCAGGTCCAAATGTACCATCTCCTTTGACAACTAATTGGCTCCTTAGCCTCGATACTTTGAAACTGATCTCCTGTCTCAAACAAGTTCTCCCTTTCTTCCCTGTTCTAGCAGTCGGAGCAGCGTTCTTCTAGTCATATAAGCTCTGAGCTACAGAAATCATTTTGTGTTATTTTTTTTACCCTCTTCACAAGAAGTCTCAAAGACTCATGTATCTCTATCAGCCCTCTTGTACAGCCCGGCACTAGCTCTTCTCAAGAACCCTGCAGCATCACTTGCAGTCTCTTCCAGCTTCAGTTCTGCAAAGTTTCACCGTCCTACAAACATCCCTGGTCATGTCCCTGGTCTGTTCAAAAGCCTCTAGGAAACCCGTTTTGCTCAGTGAGCAAAATAGGCTCCCAAGACTGGCAATCCAAGTCCTCCACAGTGAGAGCAGACTTGTTACTACGTGTTTTCTAAACACACCCTGGTTTTCTCACCTCCGTGTCTGCTTCTATGCTTCCTTTGCCTGTACAGCTTTCAGTCCCAATATAGTTACTGAAACCTGGCCAACCTTCAAGGTCTGCTTCAAATCTTGGAAGTCTTCCCTGATTTCTGAAGTTGGATTTTATCTATATTTCTTTCTATTTTTGGTAGTTCCTCAATATTTTTATGTCTCTTATATTATTGTAATTAAAAAATATCTATCTGCTTTCTCTACTATGCAGTAAACTCTGTAAAGACAGAGATATGTCTTATTATATTTATATCCCCACAGGACTCAGCAAAATTCTTTGCACATAAAAGACCATCTGTACATACCTATTAAATTCACATGTACATATCTTTAAGAAATTATATGTTGAAATTCAGTGTTTCTGAAACTTTTCATTATACCCATTGTTCTAAGGACACAAAATGAGCTTTTCAGGGTTTCTCAGTGCCATTTCTCTTAGGTATTGACAGAAAGGTCCTACAAGACAGATATTTATCACAGTTCTGAAATATTTTTCCCTGTCCTTTGACTCCTCCCTCAAATGATACTGATGGTTGAGTTCATGAATGAAATGACAGATCAAATTAGAGGAAAATAATTTCTGCAGTCCACTCTCATGGTTAAAAAGACAAGAAGCTGTAGAAAGGTGAAAATGTCAACTCAGAATGACACTGGCAAGGGAAATTTGTCCAGGCCTTAGCATACTTTCATAAAAGCCACATAGATGTCCCCTCTTTAGAGCTATCAAGGACCAGAAAATACATGGCACAGTGGACAGGCTTTGAACTTGCTCCAGCTTAGCCACAGATATCCTTGAGGACTTGTAAAAATTATTTCTTGTGGTTGGAGAGATGGCTCAGCACTTAAGAGCAATGGCTGTTCTTGCAGAAGACCTGAGTTCGTTTCCCAGCACCCACATGGCAACTAACAACCATCCATAACTCCAGTTCCAGAAGATCTGATGCCCTCTTCTGACCTCTGAGGGCACTGCACAACATAGTGCACTTACATCCATGCAGGCAATATACTCATATACATAAAATAAAAATAATAAATAAAATATTAAAAAAAAAACTCCTTGCTTTTGGTCTCTACTTCTGTATCTTCAAATAACAAACGGGGGGTGGGGGTGTAGATAGCTCAGTCAGTGAAGAGCTTGCTGCACAGGCATGAGGACCTGAGTTCCATCCCTAGAACTCATAAAAAAAAAAGCTGAGTGTGGTGACACAGGCTTGTAATCTCTGCACTGGGGAGGTGGAGACAGAAGGATCCCTGGGGCTCAGTGCCCAGCCAGCCTAGCCTGTTTGGCAAGTTCCAGGCCAATGAGAAACTCTCTCTCAAAAAACTAGATGGGGGACTGGAGAGATGGCTCAGCAGAGCGCTGACTACTCTTGCAGAGGACCCTGGTTCAATTCCCAGCACCCACATGGCAGCTACAAACTATCCTTAACTCCAGTTCCAGGGGAATCCGAAGCCCTTTTCTGACCTCCGTGGTATTGCACATACATGCAGGCAATAAATACAGTCATACACATAAAATAAAAATAATAAATATTTTTAGAAAAACAAGATGCATGGCACCTGAGGAATGACACTCAAGCTTGACCTATGATACCTATACACATGCAAACAAGTGTACATAAAAGTGTACATACATTAACACACACACTTGCTAAGAAGTTTAACATTCTTGGTGATAGCTGAGATTTGTGACCCTCTCTGGCTCTAAAATGTGTCTCTCTACAGCTCTGTGGAACAATACAGCAAAGTGGTAAGGAATGATTGAAAGATGTGACCCAGGTGTAGTGGCACATGCCTTTAGTCCCAACACTCCGAAGGCAGAGGCACATGGATCTCTGTGAGTTCAAGGCCAGTCTGGTCTACATAGAGTTCCAGGCCAGCTGGAGCTACAGGGAAACCCTGTCTCAAACAAAACAAATAAAAGAAAGAATAACTGACATATGCAGTGGCTACACACCCTTACTCTGTCTCTGCAGCTATATGACAGAATCATTCAATACTTCTGCATCCTGTATCTTCATCTGTAGGAAGACAAGAATGCCAATAACAAAGGCTTTATAGGTTTATTGTGGTGATGCAAAGAAACGCAGAAGTTGCTTAGTACAGTGCCTGGCATATCACAGGCACATGAAGGATTTAGGGATGATTAATTTCAATGAGATCTATTTTCAAAAACAGCAAATATATCCTGAGAATATCTGCAGGTGTGCATCCTACTATGACCTAAAGCAGTCAGAGAATGGCCTTAGACTGCCAAAGGCAGAGGTTACAGGCTGCTAACTCCCAAGTTGTATATATGAATGCATTTCTTTGGCATGAACAATGTTGTTTAATTTAGTTAGTTTCCAGCATATAAAAACTATGGTGTCACTGTGCTGGCTTCTTTAATAAAAAATGGGGATGGACTGGAGAGATGACTCAGCAGTTAAGAATATATACTGCTCTTTCAGAGGACTAGAGTTCTGTTCCCAGCATCCGTATCAGGGGGCTCACAACCACCTATAATTCTAGCTCCAAGTAAACGAATGCTCTCTTCTAGCCTCCAGCCTCTGCAGGCTCCTGCACTCGTGGGCACAACCTCTCCCCATATACACAATAATTTAAAAATAAAATATTTAAAAACTGGGATCACTGGCAATACTGAACCTGCATTTCTGCGGAGGGCCAATGGCCAGTGCTCCCCTCAGTGTTCCTATATGCCCTACTGTCCACAGCCTGCCCACTCCTCTCATTTATACTGCATGCTTCACTCCTACAAGATTTTAGGATTTGTTTGTTTTTTTGATTTTGTGGGGCGCTGAAACTCAAACTCAGAGTGTCAGCATGCTAAGCAAGTGCTCTACTACTGAGCTGCACCCCCAGCTCAACATTTCTGTTTTGTGATGACCAATATCTGATGTTCTAAATTAGATCCTGCAACCAAAAAGGGAGGGAAGGATATTAGCAGAAAGGTGGTGAAATCTAAATGATATTAATTTTAGTTAATATGCTTTACCAGGGGCTATAGAGATGGCTCAGTGGTTAAGAGCACTGGCTGTTCTTACAGAGGACCCAGGTTCATTTCTCAACACCCACATGGCAGCTAAGAACCATCCTAACCCCAGTTCCAGGGGATCAAACACCCTCTTCTGACCTCTGCAGGCATTGCACGACATGGGTGTGATTATATAGATGTAGGCAATACTCTCATATAAAATAATAAAAAATTTTTTTAAATAATGCTTTACCAATGTTGGTTTCTAACTTGCTATAAATGTACACAATAATGAAAAGTGTTAAAATTAAAGAAAAACTCCAGAGTACACTGGAGTTTCCTAAATTATCTTTATAACTTTTTTAGGAATTTAAAATTA